AGCTAAGAGGTCATCTTCAAGGTCAAATTCAAGATCACCATTGGATTCCTCGTTGAAAAATACGTGGATTAGGGGATCCGATTTTTTTTTAAAAGCTTACCATGCGATTTTTCCAGGTGCTTCCATACTTTTGCCGTATCCTGTATATCTTTTTGTTTCTGCGCATGCGCACCAAATTCTGCTGGATGACAATAATTGAATGAAAAAAATTATCTACAGTTCAAATTAAACCAAAAAATAACTGAAATAGCATAAATTCAGTGAAGTGGAGGGGGTGTCCAGAAACATACCCTCTATAAAGGTGCTATCATTCGGGACACCCCCGAAAGGAAACGGATTCTGAAAATATATGTCGAAAACAATAATTTGCGCCCCAGAGCAAAATTTTTAAATTTGTTTACTGCTTACAATAATTTTGGTCGCATTTTTCGATTTTCAGTCCACTGTGCGGCATCACCGTAGGCATACGTCCACTCAAATCGCCCAACAAATGGGTAGTTATTTCCAATGTCTCTCCTGTCATCTCCGACCAAGTCCTCATAGATTCGCTAGCGAAAATGGGGATAAAACCTGTCTCGCGCATGAATCGGCTCAAAATAAGCACCGACGATCCTGATTTGGCTCATATTTCTTGCCACAGAAGACAAGTTTACATCAAGGCGGAAGACGAAGCCAAACTTTTACCAGCAATAACTCTACGGAGAGCCGATCAGACAAATCACGTGTATTTCTCAACCAGCAGCAACACAGGATGTTTTAATTGCAACGAAGAAGGTCACCAAGCAAGATACTGCAGTCTCTGTTTATGTGAAATCTTAAGTTCTATTCGTAAAGAATCAAAAGTTCATATTTGTTATTATATGACGTATTACATGTAATGAGCATTTGAAGCTGTGGCAAGTATAGATTACACGAAGAAGGCTTTTGAAGTCGAAGCAATAACAAACCAGTCGTAGTCGGAGCTGTCTACGATGTTTACGTATTGTGACTCTACTGCACTTGTAAACAAACTATAGTATGACTGACATAAACACCTGTATACGCGTGCTCAAGCTTGCAGTTATGTGTATTATATATGTAGCAGAGGAAGCCTACAGTTTTCCATGTATTTTCATACAGCAAACTATATACACATCTCGCGTGGATACAATATCTCATTGTCTTCTCAGCTTTCGGCGTGAACACACATTGTGAGTATTGTGATAGAAAAAATGTTAAGTTTTTCTCTAAATTACGGCGATCTATGTTTTATCATAAAAGATAAACTTAGAGGTAAATTTGACGAGCAGCATAATCTATTATTAACAACTTTAATTGCTAGATTTTTTAATAACCAAGTAAGTGATAAAGTGAAAGAGGATTTGAGTGAAAAACTGAAATACAATTTCTTGAGTAATTTTAGAAAAAAGTTGTTGTCAATAGGTAGAAATAAAAGAAATTATGAAGACTTTATACGTACGTGTAAATCGTGGAGTGAAATTAAATTTAATTTTATGTATGTTGAAGATGTCGATGTAAATAGTGATTGTGAAATAGATATCGGTATGTGTTTTTCTCTATAAAGAAATTGGCATTTGACGTTGCATGATCGCTTGAAATTCCTTGAGATTATTTTACGATCGCTGTAAATGATGAGTGTTTGTAATGAGAGAAAGACTTGTGTAAATGAGAGCTTGTGTAAATGATTATGTATGCGAGTTCAGAATGTGAGAATCTTGTGCGTGATTGTGTATGTGTGTATGTGCGTGAT